TTGGTTCAGAGTTTCTGTGCAGTTATTTGCCATAGGTGTTTGTTGGATTTATTTTCTTATATATGCAGGTTTGTTATGAATGCATTAAAAGCTAAAGAATTTTACAAGCGTGATGTCCAATATATTGTGAGAAATGGGAAGGCACTTATAATTAATGAGGTATAAGTAGTTCTGGCCTTAACTGTACTCATTGTTTCATTTCCTAAACTGACGTGTGATAGCTATCAACTAGTGTATTTAAGACATAATGAGAGTTAAGGATTTCAATTATTTTCAGTTGACTGGAAGAGTCGAGGAGAAAAGGAGATGGTCAGAAGGAGTCCACCAGGCTGTGGAGGCTAAAGAAGGTCTGGAAATTCAGGTTTGTCACTCACACAGACTTATAAGTCGTGGTTAAAGTTATACCTCAAAAAACTTCATACTAATGAAACTGTATTCTTTGATTTAGGCTGATTCAATTGTTGTGGCCCAAATAACCTATCAGTCGCTCTTTAAACTCTATCCAAAGCTCTCCGGGATGACTGGGACAGCAAAGACAGAGGTATGTACACGATGCTTTACTTTGATCCACTTCCTTAATCTGTTTTAAAGATATGATTTTCTTGACTAGACAAGGGAGCTTGACACTTGTTTCTTCACCTTCTTGCAGGAGAAAGAGTTTTTGAAAATGTTTCAGATACCTGTTATTGAAGTTCCTACAAATTTGTCAAATATTCGAGTCGATCTACCTATTCAAGCTTTTGCAGTAAGCATCATAGAAACTCACATTTGCCATCGTTTATCTCATTTTTAAAGTGTAACTAATTTTTCCATCTCGTTCATCACTTCTATGATGTATGTTAGACTGCTCGAGGTAAATGGGAATACGTTCGTCGAGAAGTTGAAGATATGTTTGGACAAGGTCGACCTGTTTTAGTAGGAACTACAAGGTATATTACTAAACCAATTCAGCAACTTTTGACACATAAACTAAGCCAATCTTTCTAAAATTCAAAATATATTGCATGTACTGGTGTCGGTTAAAAGTATACATTGATGATAGGGACAATTATTTCTTTTTAAAGACTTTTTTTTTTTTGCTGATAACAAGTTAGCTTCATTTTTTGCAGTGTAGAGAATTCTGAATATTTATCAGCATTGCTGAAAGAATGGGGTATTCCTCACAATGTCCTGAATGCACGACCCAAGGTGGGATCTGCAACTTATCCCTCTGCAGTAAAACTAACATATATAAAGAAGTTCTAATACTCTTTATTTTACTTCATTCAGTATGCTGCGAGGGAAGCCGATTTTATAGCCCAAGCAGGAAGAAAATATGCCATCACCATTTCTACAAATATGGCTGGCAGGGGTACTGATATTATTCTAGGTGGAAATCCAAAGGTATTTTGGACAACATCCTTAACGTTCCAGATGTTTGTCTGATCTGCAGTTGATTGGGTCTCTTCTTGATGACTATACTTCTGCGGACATCTAGTTTTTGTACTGTATTCGTCTTTTGCTGTCAATAAATTTCACCTGTGATTTTCTTGTTTGTTGTAATCTTGCAGATGCTTGCAAGGGAAATCATAGAGGACAGCATCCTTTCATATCTAACAAGTGAAGTAGTCGCAGATGATATTGACGATAATGAATTATCGCAGAAGGTATTTGTTGCAAAATAACTCATATTTTGAGCTCTTTACATAGGTATTCTTGAAGACAAAAGCCAGATCATTTGTCGATACTTATATCCCAATTGTAGAATAATTGAACTTTCCTGTAAATTATGTCAGGTGTTGTCAAAAATAAAAGTGGGACCATCGTCATTAGCTTTGCTAGCCAGAGCTTCTCTTATGGGTTTGTCTCTGAACTTTCAGCACTCATTTCTTAACACATACTCTATGGATCATGTTTGATGTTTAGGTTTACTGTTGAAATCTTCTTTCAATTCAATTGATGCAGCAAAATACGTTGGCAAAAGTGAAAATAAAAGCTGGTCGAGAAAAAAAGCAAAGTCCGTGGTCACAGAATCATTGGAGAAAAGTCAGACCATGGATCCTATGGAACTTCAGAATCTTATCAATGAGCAGTCAGAAATGTACCCATTAGGCCCTGCTATTGTTTTGGCTTATCTATCCGTCTTAAAGGACTGTGAGGCCCATTGTCTGTATGAAGGGTCTGAAGTGAAGAGGCTTGGAGGTCTTCATGTGATTGGGACATCTTTGCATGAGTCTCGGAGGATTGATAATCAGGTAAGGATCTTGTTTTGCGTCTCTGCTTGAATGCTACGCTTTTGAATTAAATGTGCTAATCTATTAGTATTTTAAGATCCTAAGAAGACGTTTTCCCAAACCTATTATTTTGACTTGCAAACCTTTTAAAAGAATGAATCCCGGGCTACTATCTAGAATGGTAGCATCATGAAAAGTGAACTACATAATCATTCATTCTCCTTATCGTGAAGAGATATGCCCATTTGTTTTTCCGGATTTACCAAATAATTAATTTATCAATGTGGAAATGGTAGAGACACCTTGAAATCAGCACTCATGCAAGTTGACCTGTTTGATGGAATCAAATGTTTAGTTGGCTAATCTTCCAAGTTTATACGTCCATATTATTTCTTATAGCTTCGTGGCAGAGCTGGGAGGCAAGGAGATCCTGGATCCACGCGTTTTATGGTTAGGTAATCACATCTATGATTCTCCTGAACTGAAAAAGCCTCTATTAGCAAAGTTCTTAGGTCGAAAAGACTTTACTGCTTTGATATTGAACTTTACACCAATCCGAAAAATGTTTGGGAATAATATCAGTCTGCTTAACGTAACATGATTGTATTACTGTTGGCTGTACAGCTTGCAAGATGAGATGTTTCAGAAGTTTAATTTTGATACTGAGTGGGCTGTAAGACTTATATCAAAGATTACAAACGATGAAGATTTACCAATTGAAGGTGACACAATAGTAAAACAGGTAAGTTCATTTATTTTCTTTGTGATTTTCCTTGGAAATTGGTCTACTGCTGCTAATCTGGCTCATCTCATTGGCATTGTTAGCTCCTAGCTCTCCAGATAAATGCAGAGAAATACTTTTTTGGTATAAGAAAAAGCCTGGTTGAGTTTGACGAAGTGCTAGAGGTACCATCTTTGCCAACTACTGTTACCGTATCTGTATCTCGAGTTCTTGACAATTTATAGATATATATATCTTTTACCATGATTATAAGTCTGAAGACTATGGTTGTTTTCTCTTTACTTTGTACCACACTATTATTCGCCTTTTCCATTCCTAGTATACTACTTGAATAGATATCTCCCAGAAAATGCTATCGAGTGACCAACCTAACTTTATTATTTATAGCTCATATCACATGTATGGCAACTTTTGAGGATACACCGTTATCTGAATCAACCGGATGCTTTTTCTTCTTCTTCTTCAGGTTCAAAGGAAGCATGTCTATGACCTAAGGCAACTTCTTTTGACGGGTGATAACGAAAGTTGCTCCCAGCATATTTACCAGTAAGTGCTACACTACTGGTGATAGACATTTAATTTTAGCATGTGTTTTTATGTGCATTGTCATTTCTCAGGTACATGCAAGCTGTTGTAGATGAAATTGTCGTTGGAAATTCTGATCCACATAAGGTAAATAAAACCCTTGTCTAGTAAAATCTGTCATATGAGGCTCATTGCTTTGTTCCTTTCTCTAAAATAAATAAATAGTCAGTCTTTGCTGTTATGTTCGTTTTCTAATATCTTATTTCTGGTGGTAGCATCCAAGAAACTGGAACTTGGCCAAGTTATTGAAGGAGTTTATGGCGATCTCAGGGAACCTACTGGATGGTAAGCTTGTTTCTTTGTTTTTCATTTTTAGGCATAACAATGTGTTGCTTCCTGAGAACAAACGATCACTCGTCTCAGCTTGAAATCTAACAAAAAGCAACGATCAGAATCATTTTCAGGGATCACAGAAGGAACCATGTTACAGTCCCTCGAAAACCTGCATGAGACAAGTTCAATAGATATGGATAACTTCCACCTTCCATACCTGCCAAAACCTCCAAACGCCTTCAGGGGAATACGCAGGAAAAACTCTTCACTAAGACGGTGGCTCGATATTTGCTCGGATGATTTGACAGGGTGAGTGCTAAACAGCTGAAGTTAGTAGAGTCTTTGTATCTGTTAACATGCGTCCCATTGAGAAAGAAAGACCTTGTGTTTTACATATGTTGAGGATAAATTATGTAGTAGTGGGAGGTACAGAACATCAATCAATCTTCTCCGGAAGTTCCTCGGTGATTATCTGATTGCTTCCTACTTGAGCGTTGTTCAAGAATCTGGCTTTGATGATGGATACGTAAAAGAAATAGAGGTACAATGTTTGTTTTTGGTTCTATGAGTGTGAGTTACACTTACAACTCCTGATCCATTTTTGCTTTGTTGGAAACAGAGAGCGGTTCTCTTAAAGACGTTGGATTGCTTCTGGAGAGATCATCTCGTGAACATGAATAAACTAAGCTCAGCGGTATCAAACCGTGATCCTCATCTCTTTGCTTTTGTTTTTTTTTTTTTTTGCTATCTGCATGTCTGATGCTTATATGTTAAAACATCAATGTCAACAGGTGAATGTTAGAAGTTTTGCGCATAGGAACCCTCTTGAAGAATATAAAATCGATGGTTGTCGTTTTTTCATCTCAATGCTGAGTGCAACAAGAAGGCTTACCATAGAATCAATCTTGCAGTACTGGTCATCCCCTATTGAATCCCAAGAACTATTTGTATCATAAGATTCCATCGACTCAAGCTAACTATATATAGAATTGAATGCTAGAAACCAGGCAATGTAGTTGATTACATATTATGCTTCTGAATTGAAGGTAAATATTATGAGGACGTTGAAACCATGATCAATAGCAGAATTTAATAAATCTGTTTGGTATAATAACAATCAACAGAATTGTGTAATACAAGTTGATGAGTTTCTCATCACTTTATAAAAGAGATTTTAAAGAAATTTTGAGTTACTTATAAATACGGAATATAATTCCAAAAAAAATCTATTATAGAAACATCTGAAAAATAATACATCCATCCGAGATGATTACAAATATAACAATATTAATTTCTGTTTCACAGGGCACATATGAGCAAAGAGAAGAAGAAAAAAACACTACTCGGACACAAAAGAATCCTTTCAAAATGGAAAAATATAACTATTATATACTCTTGACAACAAAAATGAAGCAAGCAGAGGGCAAACCAAACAAATACACAGAACTCTTCCAACGGGGTAGGTTCGAACTGTAACAAAAAAAACTATATTGATATATATGTGATTATATTAGTATCACACTGAGCTTTGGGGGCTAGGCATTCCAATGATCAGAGCTCCGAGGTGTCTCAGCCGTACTTGTCGATGTCTTGAATGGTCCCGTAGAACCGAACGGGTCATGGTCATCAAACCCAAACCCGTGACTGTAATCAGAGTCTCTCGTGCTTCCAATTGAGTCAAACCTCGTCAATGAAGCTTTAGGTGTCTCTGATGCGTTGTTGTTGTTGTTGTCATAGCTTTGTGCATTGAAGGAATCATATCTTTGGTAGTTGAAAGAATCAAACCTGGACGCAAACGGGTCTGGCTCGCTTGTGCTGCGCATCGAGTCTGAGCGGGATAGAGAGAAAGCGTCGTTGTTGTTGAAGGAATCGAACCGTGAGAAGCTGTTGGAAGAGAAGTCATCGTGTGCAGCAGGTGTGCTTGGGACAGAGTCGAACATGAAGGGACTTCTTCCTGGGAACAAGTTGTCTGAACGTGGAGTCTCTGATGCAAACGGCTTCCCACCAAAATCAGACGTGCTATAAGCAGGTGTGCTTGGGACAGAGTCATCGAAGAAGGATTTCTTTTCGGGAAACGAGTTTCCAGGATAAGCAGGAGTGCTTGGAACAGAGTCATCGAAGAATGATTTCTTGTCGGGAAACAAGTTTCCTGGGTAGGCAGGAGTGCTTGGGACAGAATCGTCAAAGTATGAACTCTTGCCTTGGTAAGAGGCAGTGGTTGTTGCTGGAGTGCTAGGGACAGAATCAGCAAACAAGGACGGTTTTGCAGTGAAACCGTCGTTGGCATGTGCCGGGGGGCTTGGGACAGAATCGGAAAATAGAGATAGCTTTGGCGGGAGGAAGTCATTTGATAGGGTGGAACCCGTTTTTATAGGTTTAATGCTGAAGTCATCGAATCCGAACCCGAATCCAAAATCAGTATCATTCTTCTTGTCCTGCGTAAACACACAACACTCAGAACAATTAGAATAAGATGGCGAAGCATCAAATATTTATTAATCTTGAGCATAATATACCTTTCCGTTGTCAGGGTTGAAGCTTGAAACTGAATCTGTCTCATCGTGAGAGTCGTAACTAGGTTCGTTGACAGCTTTTCCAGCAGAAGCAGTAGATTCACCATCATCATGGCCATTTTCACTGAGGCAAGAGTGAGTAAAATGTAGACAATATTAGTCACCTGAGATCTATAGGAACATATAATAATACTCTATTTTCCTCTTTTTATGGAAGTAAATAATAGCCATAGTTAAGAAAGATGTAATCCAAAACACACAAGGTCTAAAATGGAGGAAAAAAAAGCGTACCTCCTTGTATCTTTGGTTCTGGGTGAACAATCAGCTACGACATCCTTTCTAGCATTAGAGTCATCCAGAGATCCGTTTCTATCTGTTTTACTGTCTGAATGTGCCTCTTCTCCACTGCTTGGATTTTTCTCAGTTTTAGACTCAACATCTGAGTATGAAACGTGTTCACCTTCATTTGAAGAGACTGTAAGTTCTTTCTTCCAAGCAGATGATTTTTCCTTTGGAGGGGCAATGACATTTTGAACATCAAGTGTAAGCTCCTTGACGAAGGTAAACCCTGGAAAAAGAGAAAAATTAGGATGCAAAGTTCAAGGGTCCAACTACAAAATCTACACCCTGTTTTGGAAATTTGATTAAACATCTAAAGCCATTCTTCTTCGGTAATCTCACCTTCCTCCTCTAGTTTATCCCAATCTTCATCCCAATCAGCAGCACCTTCTTGGATTCCAGGTTGCCAACCTGTAACACGTGAGACAACCCATGAATATATAGAAATTAAGATACAACAGGTAAAGAGTTGTATCGATAGAAGTGTCAACAATACATAAAGAACCAAATATACTGAGTTTCGTGTTGCACAAAAGCATCACCGTTTAATCCAATTACTAAATTCTAAAACTAACAGTCGGAACATGTGTTAAACTTTCCTGCTACTGATCAAGAGAATATAAGACCTAAGGTGATATTTAACTTGAAAGGAGAAGGGGTAAATCTATACCAAAAGGAAGCTCCACCAGAGTAGTGGGTTTGCCACGGACTCCATATTGTTTGCAGCGCTCATTCAGATTTTTAATCAGTTCCTCAAGGCCCGATTGGATGTTTTCAGTGCGCTCCTACAAGACAAACATTCAGCAAAAAAAGAACTACCAATCACATTCAATCAACCAGATAGCACGTTTGGTTTACCTTAACAATACTATCATCCAGCTTGCCTTCTTCAAATTTGACTATGGCCTGGTACCATTCCATTTTCTTCTCCTGCATTTTAAAAGAGGCGTTTATCATATTTCTGAACGTGACATCCAACTTGCAGACTATTCAAAGTATGCCATGCTCCTGGGATGATACTTGTAAACTACCTGTATATCGCGGAATGTTGCCTCTTCGATAGTCAATTTAGAGCCTACATTGCCCGACTTCTTGTATTTCTCCTCGTATTTTTTTGCTAGAGATTCAAGCTGGATTACAGGTTGATTTTGTTAGGTAATCAAACTGGATCATCGATACCATTATAGAAGAAGTACGATAACAGAAACTCTATACCTCACGTTTATCACCCGAGACTCTCTCCGTAATCTCATTGTACCGGTTGTCGCATCTACTCTTGTATAAAACCTGTCACCCAAGAACCAAACGGAAAATGTTATATAAACAAACCGATCGTTGGTAATAACAATGAGGACCCTGAACAACTATTTCCTAGAACTTTTGAAATAACCAAAAAAATACAATCATAGCGTCAAACAATTGTTGCCTCTACTTCTTGTGATCATTAAAGCGATTTCAAACAACATTTTAGGAAAGAAACGACCGAGCTTAATAAACAAATATACTTACAAGTTCCTGCATCTTAGCATGGAAGAACTCAATTTTCTGCTTGGAATCAGCTATTTCCTTTTCAAGGTCGTCCACCTGAAGACCAAAATACAAAGATCTTGAAAAAAGAAACGGCAGTCACATAAAATTCTAGATTACGTCAATAAAGACTACATGGAAAACTGATCACCTACAAGGGAGTAACACACAAATTGTTTAAATAGGTTCAATCAGGTTTAGAAAAAAAAATTAAGAACTATGCCTAGTTCTCAGATGCTATTTGATATCTTCCAGGTTTGGAAACTTATAATCAAGAATATGACATCAAAACCTACAATTATTCATATTAGTGAGATATGAAGAGGGGGGTGGGGATAGGGTTTTCTTTAGCAAGGTAACACTTGATGTAATAAGGTCATTTTTCTTTTGAATTAAATTTAACATTCAATTCGGAAAAAAAAAAGTGACTCCCGCCAATCAAAGAAATTGGACCATTCCATCAATTAAAATCAGAGAGAAATAAGAGAGTACCTTTTTATCAATAGCAGTGGCTTCTTCAAACTTTGAGTTGAGCGAATCTTGCTCCTCTTTGCTAAGTTGATCCACCAGATGTTTTTCCAACTCAGGCATTTTACGTTTTGGCTGAGTGGACTGGACCATTCCATCACCAGGAGAGAGAGGGACTGGCCTTGGAGGCTTTCCTTTGGGAATAGCTGGTGGCCTCAAGGACCCATGAACTTGACCTACAATATTTGATCCAAGAATGAATCTACATACTGCCGAAAATTAATGCAATAATACAGAAAGAAGTTTGCGTGATGCAATACCATGTGTATGTCCCCAGGATGCATTGCCTTGTGGTGCCACAGATTGACTAGGAGAGGTAAACATGCTCTCACTGGATATTATAGTGCTTGGGAACACAGGGGGAAGAGGTCGGCCCTCTCTATAACGCTCCATCAGATAGACAGCAATACAGAACTCTCTCAAGGAAAGCATGCTATCATTGTCTTGATCAGATAACTCCCATACATGCTTCAAAGCCTCTGTAATACCAAGGAACATCATTGAACACATAAAACGGTCTATAATCCCCATATAAATTATAACAATTTCTGCTGAGATGATATCACTATCCATTTATCTTCTTGAACAAAACATGAAATACTCAACATTTCACCTAAAATGGCAGTTGATCAACAATTTCAATACTACACAAACAAATATACATAACTAGAGAAGTGTCACTTAATTATCATGCATGTTCTCCATTATAACAGCAAGCTCCAACTTAAACTAAACTAGTGGTAAACGAATGAAGCAACAGAAAAGAAATGTAGCCTACCTCGCGGGAGCTTCCAACTTAAGAACAGATTCCGAGCCTGGTGCCCAGTGATCTTTCCGTCCCTATCAGTGTCAACTTGTACAAATACCTTGGAGTATTTCTGGACGTCAGCTGGAGTCATTTTTGGCCAAGGGGCTTGGGACTGGAGGTGGGGTTGGTGCTGGGGAAGAGAATGGGGGCTGTGCTGCGGTTGGGCATAGGGTTGGGGTTGGGCATGGGGTTGGTGCTGGGGTCGAGGTTGGTGCTGAGGTTGGGGATGGTGCTGGGGTCGGGGTTGGGGTTGGGGCTGAGG